CCAGAGCGTGCTGGAGGCGGTTTCCGGACACAAAACACGTAGCGGCAGGATTGTTTTGGAAGTAATTCAAGTTGTGTCAAGTCTAAACCTGAGCACCAACAGCATGTCAAAGAACCCCATGTCCGATAGCAGGCGAATCCAGGTTATTAAGTCATTCCGCCGCACCCAAAACGCCTTCACAATAGCCAGAACGGATCGGAGAATCAATGCGCAAACCAAAAAACAAACGTTTGTGATGGAACAATTCCGTGAACAAAAACAAAGTGAACAGTTGCAGACCCTGCATTTTCTAAACGTGTTTTTTTTGAATATGGCGCCTTCATTTTGTGCAAGTTATCCAAGGTTTTTTCGCACCAACATTCTGGCATGATTTTTTTTTTGAAATTGCATTGTTTCTATATCGTTTTGATGTTTTTTTTTTGGGGGTTCCGGCCGCTTTACATTGACAAAATAAATTTTGAAATGTTTTCCATACGCGACTGTCTAGTACCAAATTTGGTTCCCTGCCCCATTGCATCTCCAGATATGCCTGCCCGTTGGTGATTTATCCCGGATCTTCGTTGCTGGTGTTTTGCCTCACGCAACAACATTTTGTGATTGAAATTGTCAACTTCAGGCATAGTGAAAGTGACAGTATATGACAGTATCTTTTTGATTCTTTTCCAGGTTTGATGTCCAGCGCCTGCTTAGGCATGTTGGGTATTGCAACAAATGCAAAAAATGTAGTATCAAAAACATGGCGGAAACTGTCGCCCCCGCCCCACTTCGCCCGTAATTTTTTAGAATCATATCTCCATACATGTGCCGTACATCTTACGCAGTCTGGAGATCACGTTTGGTTCCACTGCGCCACCTCGTGGGTGGGGACTGCCGAACATAGCCTTGGCATACCCATTAGTTGTTCTTCTATAAAATGCATACCTGTATCCTCGGAAAAATAGAAGTAGATGCTCATTTGAGAGTTTTCTGTTTTCTGAGTTTTTTTTCGCCACCTGAGCGTAATTGCGCCACTTTTGCCATTTTTGCACCTTGTGCATTTTGAAACCAAAATTATCGTATTTTCCCGGGAAATAAGTGTAAATACCCGGGAAAAAAATGTAAATACTCGTCCGTCAAAAAACAAATGCGCGTTTTCTAGGTCAAGTGAGCTTAAAAAATCAGAAAAAACGTAAATCCAAGCGAAATCTGCTATGAACAGAAAAACATGCTAAGTGAAGATCCAGGTATACTTTACGTACATGTACGCGTAAAAATGTTGTTCCGAGACTCATTTATAGAGCGTTTGCTTGGCCGTCTAAAAAAAACCCTCCATTGCATTGCATGCTTGTGCGCCATGCGGCGGGGCTATTTAAGGCACAGGCCGGGGAAACAGGATGGCATTATTTATCATTACCCCGGCGCTTTTGTAGTGCCTACTGGAGCTAAACAAATTGCACAAAATCGTGCAGACATTCCATCCAAAATTGTACATTTTTCGCTTCATCCTCCCAACGTCCCATTGAGCTATAGCGAAAAAATGCAACGATTTTTGAACCCGAAAAATTTTGAGGACTTCCAGGTCGAACGCGGCCAAAAGGATTCCAGTTCAATAAGCGTTCGGCCCATCTACGAGCAGCAAGGTTGGCAACATAGCTTGCAAATACCCAAAGTTGGCGCACACACATCGTAGCCCAGGTACACATCCGTGCTTCGCGAACAAAATGCGCAACATGTTCATGCCAAGCGTGTACGATAATGTGCCACAGAGCACCCAACTTATACCTGGTGGTGGTCCAACAACATTTTTGCAAGAGTTTCGGAAATTGATATCAAGTCGTTGTAGGTTCTCACTATGGATCCCGTCGGCCCGGTTCCAAAACAAGCGACTGGAGTCAAAATTGCGTGGGAATAACGAAACATTCGATGGATTGAAACATTTTTGTCACGTAAAATTATTCGATTGGCATGAAAAATCCTGTTTGCAGCTTGAATGTAGTACTCAGTGTTGATGTTTGTGCACTTGGATCCCACAAACGTTAACTTGCATCCAAACCATTTGTGCGATGGTGCAGAGGTCAAAACTTTAACCGACCTGTCCATTTCGATTGGGTGTTAAAAATGGTGGCAGTTGCGTTTCCGTAGTTAAAATGATAGTTTTGGATACATTTAATGGCAACCCAACACCCTCCAATGTGTCAACCAACGTGTCCAACAGTTAAATCAAAATTCCCGAGGTTTTCGCAAACAGAAGTATGTCATCAGCACATGTCAAAACCAACAGCTGCGGCATGCCGTCCCTCAAATCGATTCCTTTTGTTCCACTCTTCGCTTCCATTGCCGCATAGCCTCTTGAAGTACAGCACAGAAAAGACGTGGGCTCAGAACGCAACCTTGATGTACGCCTGCATTGATATTAAACAAGTCATTCCCACCCGATCGTCTAAATACTTGCCCGCATTGGTTCGAATGCAATTTCTCCAATAACCACACCAGGTGATCAGGAACGCCTTGGCTACGCAATGCAACCCAAAGCACTGGCCAACGCATCCTGTCAAAGACTTTCGGTAGGTCCAAACTTACACTCCACATAAAAGTATACAGTATTTTCAAAAATTTTGTATCAAACACCAAACAGGCGCTCAACAAGTGCTCTTCCATACGTCTGCCAAGGCAAAACCCAAGCTGGTCCTCAAACTGAGGCAGTTCCAGAGTACGCTCGATACGATGCAGAACTAAAAATGCAAACCTTTTGTACAATAATCGGGAATTCAAGACGGGCCAGAAACCTGTTGCCAACGCTGCTTATATTTTTTTCGGCAAGCATATGGAAAAAAATGTGCCAACTATATGCCGGTTCCCGGTGGAAAAAAAACATGGTTGACGAGCTCTGGCCATGCGCATAAATTTTTTTCCGGTGCATGATGTAAAAAATTTGCGTACCAAACCAATATCGTCATTTGCTTTCTTCTTTTTTTCAGTTCGGTCACAGCTAGTTTCATTTCATCCAGGCTCCACATGGGGTCCATGGTTTCAAATGACAGATCTTGTTGCCTACCATCAGCTTGAAAAAAATATTGTAAAAGGGTGGCGCGTTCATGTGCGGAAGGTTGTTCAACAAATCCTTTGCCATGGCATTGTTTTGCCACTTGGTGGAAATGTGTCCAATGACTCGGAGGTGACCATGGCCATGTACCCTTATTTTTTGACCATGCTGCGAAAGGAAGGCGCGTTTTATAGAAGGAAGGTGAGGCCAACCTTGACTTTTAAGATGTTTTAGGAACATATGTTTGGTTGTGTGGAACAAACATTTTATAGAGGTTTTACTTTCCTGGTGTTCCGCAGGTGGCAGTTTGAAGGATGCACATGGATGCACGGTGATAATTGAACACATGTATGCGCCTTGCAACTTTTATTTTGCTTAGCTCTGCCGTTGTTTGGGCCCAACCGGGGAGATCAACTTGCTACGTTGCCTGGAAACGTCTCTATAAAATGCTGTCTTCGACTGGGGGAGGGGCGTGGTAGGACGGGTTGGGGGCATCCCCAATCGGAAAAACAATTTCATAGAGATTGATCGCCCTCTTTGGGGTGGGGAAGCGGACAGAACCGCAAGGGCCACAACGGAGAAACACAACATGGAAACAGAATGGGGGAAACGGTAGCCGCAACCAGAAGGCGGGTGAGTTCAAAAAATATTTGATATTGATATTGGAGTCGCACTTCGAAGATAAATATAGATTGGAGCAACATTTTTTGGAGGACTATTGCGTTGTTACACGATGTCGCACTGCGTGTGTTTGCGCACGTGGCGTCTGCAGAGAAACATGTCATAGTAATCACGGAGAGGTCATTTCACAGAGGGTTCCCACTTGCTGTCCGAATGTTGGCTGACGGAGGACAGTTTTACAAATGTATGGTACAGCATATTTGCGCACAAGTAAACTGTATCTCTTGGCCTTGATGAATTCCAAAAGTGTTCATACTTCCCTGGCTAGATTCAGGGCTTTTAAACCTGGGACAGGTTGCCCCACCCCGCGGCCCAGCAGATCATGTCGCTCCCTCACGCTTTTGGGTCATAATAAAACTGTTTGGCGACAATTTTTCGAAGAGTTTGCGATGTAGAAACTCGTGTAACACGTGGTTAACATGTAACAACGTTACTACATTTTGAACCATGATTCAAGTCGCAACGGTTGTGAACGGCGCAGAACATGTGACAGTTCGTTACCGGCGGGAGGGAAAAAAAACAAAAACAAACGGAATGTTTGCCCAGCTGCTTTTCGGCGTTCCAAGGATTTCTCCAATCAACAACGGAGGGCGCCGGCGCTTCAATCATGACGGGGAGCGTATTGCGGAAAGTCAGGTTGAACTGGCACAAATCGTGGCAACTATGCAAGTCGGATTGCGACACCACTTTTTTGATCGCAAAAACGTGCGCGGCAGAACCAAACTGTATCGGAGGTGTCCTGCCACACCCGCCTGTCCTGAATATGCATCCCAAGCGTTTATAGTCGACTGCGCCGATGTGCAGCTGCACATGCGTGACGTTAACGCGCTTTGGCACCTAAAGCCCGCAGCTGATGTGACAGAGCGTAATATTCAATTACTTATGCGTACGCAATGCTAGAACATGGCCTGCAATCAGTGTAGGTCATCAATATCACGGGCACCAAGTACGCGCGGCAAAAAACGTGTTCCAGTAGCCAAAAAGTAACATTGTGAGGGCATTGTTTGAACAAAAAATGTTGCAGAAAAATTGAACTAAACGGGTTCACCCTCGTTGCGGCCACACAACAATGAATTTTTAGAACGGCCCGTAAAATATAAATTTTTGTGGTGGATTTTTTGTTCAACTGATGGTTGAAGTGTGGTGACCCTTTCAAGTGATACCGTGGTAAACCTTTTTCATCTAGACCATGTGTATTTTCCAGGATTGTTTTTATTTGGGTGAATCCGTTTTCAACATTTGTGGTTATGGGTATGTTCCGAACAGCCAGCGGCCGAAGCAACATGGAAGTGGCCGCATGTCACAGGACTTGGCCAAAGGTGCCATGTGCAGTTTTGTTTCTTCCTCCGCCAGTCTGTTCTGAAGGACCGCGGCCGTACGTGCCAGCTGTGCAGTCCACTCTGGCGGCTGCTTGCCCCGAGCGAATCTGTGATGGATCGGGTTTGCAGCAACGCCATCCTTGTCGTGTTATCCTTTCCAGGCAAAAGGTTTGCACAGCACCCTCGTCACTCCACTCTGGAGAGCAGCCTGCGCCGTACCATGCGCAGCACCTTTGCGAGACCTCGCCACGGCACTCCCAACAGCAGCGCGCACAGCACCCTGCACACCACTTTTGCCGCAGCCACAACAACAGCCTGCACAGCGCCAGCGCAGCACCCTACACACCACCTATGCTAAACTTAGCCACCGCACTGTGAGCAGTAGCTTCGCAGAACCCAAAGGAACTTGCCCAGGACCTTGCACAGCACCACTGCACAGCACCCTTGCACAGCACCCTTGCACAGCACCTTTGCCGGACACACCGCCGCCTGTAAACAGAGCCTCGCCCTGCACCGCACCGTGCGCAGCGCCCGTGCCACACCTCGCCACTGCGCTTTGGATAGCAGCCGGGAAAGCAGCCTGTTGTGGCAGAGCGCCCTGCACACCGTTTTTCTTAGACTTCGGCAAACACAGCCCTTTTTGCCAGACTTCCCCACCGCATTGTGACTAGCAGCTTCACAACACCCACAGCTGCCTGCACAGCACCCTGCCCAGCGACTTTGCCCAACCTGCACAGCAACTTTGCCGCCGCTGCAGCACCCTGCGCAGCACCTTTGCCAGACCTCGCCAAACAGCCGCCTGCAAAGCACCATACCAGACCTCGCCACCGCACTCGGGGAAAGCAGCCTGCAGGTGGGCAGCGCCCTGCACGGCACTTTTGCTTGACACCGCCACAGCCCTGCAGCAGCCACAGTAGCTTCAGCACCCTGCACAGGAGAGCGCCCACAACAGCCTGCACAGCACCCTGCGCAGCACCCTGCACATGTCAGATCTTCAGCTTCAGGTATCAGAGAGTGCACATCTTGGTCAGAAACATGGTTCAGTTGTCATTGAATCCCCGTGTCACATATTGGCTCCATAGGGGACCCTTTTGCCAAGCTTTCAGCTATAGGTTTCTGTGTGGCGCCAGAGGTGGTGCCTGACAGGCCATACCGGCCTCTTGCGCGTGGAAAACTACGCTGTTGCGGCCGTGCTGATACAGCACAAATCGAGAAGTGTAACACCAACCTGAAACCCGTGACTTAGCTGAACCAAGGGGCTACCGACATTGGTAGCGGAGCTCTGGCGGCCTGCCATCTCCTGGAACTACACCTTGGCCGAGCTCTACAACCTCCTGCTGGACGAGGACTTCTGTTTGGAGCCCTACTTCGGCTGCTGGTGGTGCTGCGTGGTGCTCTTGGCCTTTGACCCGGTTCTGGACTTGCCCTTCCACCAGGTGGTGAACTTTGTCTTCTACCCACTACTCTCCTGAGGAGATCTTCGGCTTGGAGACTGACGAGATCTACGGCGATGTCCACTATCACCGCGAAAGAGGTGGTGGTTACTTGGGACGGGGACCCGGCAACATGGCCGGATTACTCCCGGAAGGTCCGACTCCAATGGGAGAAGACACAACCTCATAAGAGGCGACACCTTGGACCTGACCTTGCAAGCAGGTTGACAGGACGGGCATGGGGCGTCACTGCGGACCTCAACCACCGGCTCCTGGCTAAGAAGAACGGCACCAAATACCTACTTCGGGTACTACGTGACCGTCTTTGCAGAACAGCAGTACCAGATGCAGGAGCTCGTCTTGAAGACCTTCTCATACGTCTGAGACGTCCCTTGGGAATGACGATGAGCCAATGGAGCAATGAGGTCATGGAGACCTATCGCAAGGTGCAGCGTGCTCTGATGAGGGCACAACAACAACAGAGAGAGCGATCACCGAAGAAAAACAAGAAGAAGACCGAGAGCATGAGCGCTCAGTCTGAGCCACAGGCCGAACCACCGAGCCCTACGAGATCACCAACTGGAAGATCACCTACTACCCGAGCTGCTGCTGAACCTCATGCCGAAGCTGACGGATCCCAAGGAGAAGGATATGTTCCTATCCCTCAAGCTGACCCTGATGAAGAACACCGTGAATGGACTGATGAGGAGTGGAAGCAATGGTACAAGGAGAAACACAAAGTCTGGGAAGAGGACTCCTCATCATCAGGTGAGGATTTGCCTTGGGATGAGTTGGAGGTCGCTGAACTCCAGGTCTTGCCGGATGAGATCTTGGGATGGCTCTTGTTGAGAAGAGCAAACTGGTCAGCATCTTCAAGGTTGTCGGTGCAGGCAAGTGTTCAGAACTCCCTCAGTTTTAGGGACATCGAAATGGCACTGAGCGATCAAGAAGAAGAACTTCTACAAGCGGATCAACAGCGTCACCCGCATGGGAAGAAGCGCACCTTTTGGGTGGAGGAACAAGGTCAATGGGGCCTCGTCAGTTTTCCTGAGGAGAACCTTGACGAGGCCACGGACATTCTATGGGTTGGAGATCGTCTACCCCCTGAAGTATATGGACACGATCCTCCTGATGGAGCTCTACAAGGTTCTGGCGACAATGAGGAGGTCTATTGGCACTATGATCATGACGGATGGCATGGATATGTCCCTGATGGCCAAGGGTACTGGATGGAAACTGATGGCTATGGTACCTATTGGTCTGCAGAGGACGCTCTTTGGGAAGAACTTTCACCTGAGGAGCACAAAGAACTGGATGAGGCATTTGCAGCCTACGAGACAAAGGCAAGAACCTTCTTGCAGAGCCGTGAACTCCAACGAGCAAAGGGTAAGAGCCGAGGATTTTACCCGGTTGGAATGTTGAAAGGAAAGAGCAAAGGAAAAGGGAAAGGCAAGAAGGGCAAAGGTTTTGGAGCTACATCATCCAGTTCCTCTACGTCCATGTCGGCGTCGACACCAACTTTTGCTGTGCAAGGCGATGTGATGGAACAAACCGCGAATCAGAAACTTACCGCGAATCAGAAACAAAGAATCAGAAACTAAAAGCCGCGAATCAGAAACTAAAATCCGCGAATCAAAAACCAAAATCCCGCGAATCAGAAACCAAAAATCCCGCGAATCAGAAACTAAAATGCGCGAATCAGAAACAAAAATCCGCGAATCAGAAACTGAGAATCAGAAACTAAAAACTGCGAATCAGAAACTAAAATCCCGCGAATCAGAAACCAAACTCCCGCGAATCAGAAACCAAAATCCCGCGAATCAGAAACTAAAATGCGCGAATCAGAAACCAAAACCAGAAAACCAGAAACTAAAAAACACACGAGAGCAGGTGCGTTTCGACTGAGACAACAGACAGACTGTGACGTTGGGACTCTTCAGACACAGTTGAGTAAACCATATTTTGAACAAGCAGCTTCTGAATACTTGCGACTCCATGAAAGCTGCGACACTCTCAACTTCAACTTCTCTTCTTAAGAAATCAAATCCGCCATCCTCCTCTGGCCACTATGTTGAATAGGATATTACCTTCTACTTCACTTCAAAAGAACTTAAATCCGCCACCCCCTCTGGCCACTATGTTGAATAGGATATTAACTTCAACTTATCTTCATAAGAAATCAAATCCGCCACCCCCTCTGGCCACTATGTTGAATACGATATTACCTTCTACTTCACTTCAAAGGAAATCAAATCCGCCACCCCCTCTGGCCACTATGTTGAATAGGATATTACCTTCTACTTCACTTCATAAGAAATCAAATCCGCCACCCCCTCTGGCCACTATGTTGAATACGATATTACCATCTACTTCACTTCAAAGGAAATCAAATTCGCCACCCCCTCTGGCCACTATGTTGAATAGAATACTACTTTCTACTTCACTTCATAAGAAATCAAACCCGCCACCCCCTCTGGCCACTATGCTACATAGGATATTAACTTCAACATATTTTCTTAAGAAATCAAATCCGCCACCCTCCTCTGGCCACTATGTTGAATAGGATATTACCTTCTACTTCACTTCAAAAGAAATTAAATCCGCCACCCCCTCTGGCCACTATGTTGAATAGGATATTAACTTCAACTTATCTTCATAAGAAATCAAATCCGCCACCCCCTCTGGCCACTATGTTGAATACGGTATTACCTTCTACTTCACTTCAAAGGAAATCAAATCCGCCACCCCCTCTGGCCACTCTGTTGAATAGGATATTACCTTCTACTTCACTTCAAAGGAAATCAAATCCGCCACCCCCTCTGGCCACTATGTTGAATAGGATATTACCTTCTACTTCACTTCATAAGAAATCAAATCCGCCACCCCTTCTGGCCACTATGCTGAAGAGGATACTAACTTCCTTTTATCTTCATAAGAAATCAAATCCGCGGCCACTATGTTGAATAGGATATTACCTTCTACGTCACTTCAAAGGAAATCAAATCCGCAACCCCCTCTGGCCACTATGTTGAATAGGATATTACCTTCTACTTCACTTCAAAAGAAATCAAATCCGCCACCCCCTCTGGCCACTATGTTGAATAGAATCTACTTTCTACTTCACTTCATAAGAAATCAAACCCGCCACCCCCTCTGGCCACTATGCTACATAGGATATTAACTTCAACATATCTTCATAAGAAATCAAATCCGCCACCCCCTCTGGCCACTATGCTACATAGGTTATTAACTTCAAATTATCTTCATACATACGAAATCAAACCCGCCACCCCCTCTGGCCACTATGTTGAATAGGATATTAACGTCAACTTATCTTCATAAGAAAGCAAATCCGCCACCCCCTCTGGCCACTATGTTGAATAGGATATTACCTTCTACGTCACTTCAAAGGAAATCAAATCCGCCACCCCCTCTGGCCACTATGTTGAATAGGATATTACCTTCTACTTCACTTCAAAAGAAATCAAATCCGCCACCCCCTCTGGCCACTATGTTGAATAGAACACTACTTTCTACTTCACTTCATAAGAAATCAAATCCGCCACCCCCTCTGGCCACTATGCTACATAGGATATTAACTTCAACATATCTTCATAAGAAATCAAATCCGCCATCCCCTCTGGCCACTATGCTACATAGGTTATTAACTTCAACTTATCTTCATATGAAATCAAGCCCGCCACCCCCTCTGGCCACTATGTTGAATAGGATATTAACGTCAACTTATCTTCATACGAAAGCAAATCCGCCACCCCCTCTGGCCACTATGTTGAATAGGATATTACCTTCTACTTCACCTCAAAAGAAATCAAATCCGCCACCCCCTCTGGCCACTATGTTGAGTAGCATGTTACCTTCTACTTCACTTCAAAGGAAATCAAATCCGCCACCCCCTCTGGCCACTATGTTGAATAGGATATTAACTTCAACTTATCTTCATAAGAAATCAAATCCGCCACCCTCTCTGGCCACTATGTTGAATACGATATTACCATCTACTTCACTTCAAAGGAAATGAAATCCGCCACCCCCTCTGGCCACTATGTTGAATAGGATTTTACCTTCTACTTCACTCCAAAGGAAATCAAATCCGCCACCCCCTCTGGCCACTATGTTGAATAGAAAATTACCCTCTACTTCACTTCATAAGAAATCTAATCCGCCACCCCCTCTGGCCACTATGCTACATAGGATATTATTTTCACTGTATCTTCTTAAGAAATCAAATCCGCCATCATAAGAAATCAAATCCGCCACCCCCTCTGGCCGCTATGCTACATAGGATATTAGCTTCAACTTATCTTCATATGAAATCAAATCCGCCACCCCCTCTGGCCACTATGTTGAGTAGGATATTACCCTCAACTTCACTTCAAAGGAAATGAAATCCGCCACCCCCTCTGGCCACTATGTTGAATAGGATATTACCTTCTACTTCACTTCAAAAGAAATCAAATCCGCCACCCTCCTCTGGCCACTATGTTGAATAGGATATTACCTTCTACTTCACTTCAAAGGAAATTATCCGCCACCCCCTCTGGCCACTATGTTGAATAGGATATTAACTTCAACTTATCTTCATAAGACATCAAATCCGCCACCCCTCTGGCCACTATGCTCAATAGGATATTACCCTCTACTTCACTTCATAAAAATCAAATCCGCCACCCCCTCTGGCCACTATGCTACATAGGATATTATTTTCACTGTATCTTCTTAAGAAATCAAATCCGCCATCATAAGAAATCAAATCCGCCACCCCCTCTGGCCGCTATGCTACATAGGATATTCGCTTCAACTTATCTTCATATGAAATCAAATCCGCCACCCCCTCTGGCCACTATGTTGAGTAGGATATTACCCTCAACTTCACTTCAAAGGAAATGAAATCCGCCACCCCCTCTGGCCACTATGTTGAATAGGATATTACCTTCTACTTCACTTCAAAAGAAATCAAATCCGCCACCCTCCTCTGGCCACTATGTTGAATAGGATATTACCTTCTACTTCACTTCAAAGGAAATTATCCGCCACCCCCTCTGGCCACTATGTTGAATCGGATATTAACTTCAACTTATCTTCATAAGACATCAAATCCGCCACCCCCTCTGGCCACTATGCTCAATAGGATATTACCCGCTAATTCACTTCATAAGAAATCAAATCCGCCAACCCCGTCTGGCGACTGTGTTACATAGGATAGCACCTACAACTTATCTTCATACGAAATCACATCCTCGTTTGACATTCATCTTACCTTCGGACTGATTTTACTCCCATGATTTGCGGTGGTCTGATCCCAATTAAAGAGAACCCATGCAATCCACTCCATTGGAAGAAGACAAGTTGCCCATTAGGATTGATGAACAGGTTTTAGTTTCCGATACTTTTGGTTTCCGATTAACAGGTTTTAGTTTCCGATTCACCTGCTTTAGTTTACGATTCAGCTTTGGTTCCCGATTCCGGGTTTTTGGTTTCCGATTCAAGGGTTTTAGTTTCCGATTCACGGGTTTTAGTTTCCGATTATTTTAGTTTCCGATTAACAGGTTTTAGTTTCCGATTAACGGGTTTTAGTTTCCGATTAACGGGTTTTAGTTTCCGATTAACGGGTTTTAGTTTCCGATTAATGGCTTGACCGATGTGATGGCTGCCAATGGCAACGTGGGATGCTTCATCTGCGGAGATCGAGGCCATGGATTCCGCAACTGTCCGAAGCGAAACAACAATGGCTCACCTGGGGGCCACCACAACAAGGGCACCAAGAAGGGCACCTTTTGGGTAGAAGCTGTGACGCCAAGTCCTTTGGCCTTTGTGGGCATGGTGGCACAGGCGTCAAAGCGGATTATGGATACAACAGGATATGGGGTGCTTGACCTTGGTGCTACCGAGACGGTTGGCTCTCTTGAAGCTTTGGAGAGCTTGATGGCACTTCGTCATCAACAAGCTGGAGAAGATGAACAGATCCAAGTGTTCACTGGGCCTTCAGTGAACAAACCTTTTCGCTTTGGCAACGGTGGCATCAAGTTCTCCGAGTCCTACGTGCTGATCCCTCAACGACTTGGAGAAGCTCGTGTGATGCTGGGCCTCTACACCATCGACGCCAACAAGGTTCCCATCCTCATCGGCATGAAGACCCTTGAGAAGTTGGGGGCCATCATTGACGTGCAAGGACAATGCATGGTCCTGGCAAATGTGGCACCAGATTTCAAAATCCCCTTGGGAAAGAGCCATGCGGGACATTTGCTGGTGGATTTGACTTCCGACTGGCTTAGCGTTGGTCAACCTCTGAAGACTCAACTTGCTGGAGTCTACAAAGCGCAAGCTGCTGAAGTCGGTCAAAGTGTTGAGTTGAATGAGAAAGTTGTGACAGCTTGCATGACCACGTCAACAGCACTGATGGCCGAAGCCGTGGATGATCCAGCAGTTGACCAACATGAGGCTTCAGGTGAAGAAGGTGAGACTGAAGAGAACCCAACAGTGTTCATGCTTGACCCTCATGACCATTCCCGGCAACCTTTGGTTCAAGCTGATCAGACGATGCGAGACGGCATCATTCAGTCTTTGATCACCGCATCACCCAACTCTGCTGCCTCTTCGCTGTCTCATGGTGCCCAAGAAAGCTTCTCTGAGGAAGGTGGTGCCGCCGGAAGAGCGGTTCGACTTCGAACGGATGGAACTGATGAACCCCAACGATCCCAGGTCGTTGGGCCCTCCGTGCCACGGAGAGCACGAAGTCGCTCCTCCAGGACGGGGCTCAGTGACGGGTTCAAACCGACATGCGATGTGGGAGGGATGCCTCCACTGCGGCATACGGATGAAGTATGTGCCGGCGTTTGGCGCCCATGCCATGTCACGCAAAGCCGGACCCCTGGGGAGCGACGTTGCCAAGCAGATGGAGGAGAAGAAGCCCGCGGCAGGCAGCATGGAGCTGCAGAACCAGAAGATCAGCCTGGACGCGGCCGAGAGATCCCTCAAGGACCGCCTGACCACTATCCAGAAGCAGAAGGAAGATTGGGTCAACATGCAGAAGAAGAAGGACAACTACGCCCAGCGCACCAAAGACCTCGCTGGAGGATACCCGAAAGGCCCTGTGGGCCCCGACAAGACCCAATCAACTTCGATGCCTTCTCAGGGTGGTGGCAGCGCCGAGGACTACATGATGAGCCAGACACCAGGACGAAAGTCCATTCGCAAGGCGGAGATGACATCGGAAGAGGCGGAGCTCATGACCAAGCAGGAGTTCATGGAGAAGAAGGAGGAGGAAGAAGAGTGGCAGAAGGTGAACAAGGATTGAAGGAGAAGACCCCAGAGGTCAACCTGGAGAGCGAGATGCAGTTCCAGGCAGTTTCACAACAGGGAACTTCATCAAAGAAGAACCCTATGGAATCAATTGCAAGTTTTGGATCTATGTCATTGAGGAGTTCTACGTCCTTGCCGAGGTCTACATCAGCATCAACTTCGAAGCCATTGCCGAGCTCTACGTCGTACAGTACATCAAGACCCTTGGAGAGCTCTATGTCTTCCAGTGCTTCGAGGCCTTTGGAGAGCTCTATGTCTTCCAGCCCTACGAGACCATTGGAGAGCTCTTTGTCCTCAAGCCCGTTGACACCCTTGAGGAGACCTACGGTAGGAGGAGTGAGGAGTGGACTTCGAACTCTATGAGCCTGTGGAGGAGGACACCAACAAGCCAGCAAGGAGTTTCACATCTGAAGGCATTTTGCCAGCAGGGTCTGCATCAAAGAGGAGGAAGACGGCGAGTCAATCTGGGGAGACGTCACCTACGACTGAGGAGAAGATGACGCCCGAGGAGACAGCTTTTCTGGTCTCAGAGATGGAGCAGTATGTGATGGAGTGTGAGGAGCTCTTTCATGGACTTCATGCACCTCACTATGAAGGTCGTCTTCCCACAGTGATGGAATTATGCTGTGAGGAAGACAGTGGAGTGACCAAAGCCATGGAATCACTTGGAGGTCGTGGCCTTCGCTGTGGACTTTTCAATGGCTGCGACCTCAGTAAGAAGTCAGGCTTCAACAAAGTGATGCACCTGCTCCAGACTGAAAAGCCAGATGTGCTTTTGGTTTCCCTGCCATGTGGACCAACGTCCAACATCCAAGAGCTCAACAAGCTCACGGAGGAGGGGCGCATCAAGAACGAAAAGAAGGTGGAGCGCTCAAAACGATTGGCAAGCCGAGCCGTCACTTTGATGCAGCAACAAGTACGACAAGGAGGAGAAGTCATACAAGAATGGCCACGCCACAATAAGGCTTGGCATTTCCGATCCATCCGTGGATTTTGGGGCTCTTTGGACTTTCATGAAGCCCAGGTGGATGGATGTGCTTATGGACTTACAGCACCGAAAGGCGGCTTGATCAAGAAGCCTTGGAGATGGAGAAGCACGACAAAGAAGATCTGGCAACTTCAACGGCTATGCCAATGTCAACAACCACATGTTCCCTGTGAAGGTGGCGAGTTGACACGCCTGTCAGCTCTTTATCCACCGAGACTGTGTTCACAGGTGGCCCGACTGGTAAAGCTCATTCACCTTGAGAATGAAGCTCAGATCTTCACCGTGCAGAACTCTCCAGACTATGACACGGAGGTCCTCAAGAAGCACACCGATCAGGAGCTCATGAAAGTGGCAGCCGACTTGATGTCACTGCACAAGAAGCTTGGACATCCTAGCAAACAGGTGTTCGTCAAAATGCTTCGTGATCGAGGAGCCTCAACGATGGTCAGAACCATTGCGGCCAACCTCCATTGCATGGATTGCCAAGAAGCGTCAATCCCACCTTCGAGGAGAGCAGTCACCCTGGAAGGAGCAACACAGCTTTGGGATTGCCTACAGTTGGACAACATGGAGATCACTGTGGGCGAGGAGACCTTCCACTTTCAGGTCATCATTGACGAAGCTTCATCCTACGGGGCAGCGAACTTCCTCTTCAAGCACCCGGTGGCGAAGAGTCGTAACCCGACTACTGAAGAAGTTCTACAAGCTCTGTACCGTGGGTGGATCCAACACTTCGGCTATCCCAAGTGCATCAAGCTGGACAAGGAAGGTGCACATCGTGGAAGAAGCTTAGAAGAATGGGCTGAAGGACATGGAGTTGAAGTCCAAGCGATTCCTGCCGAAGCTCTTACCCAGATCAGTCAGGTTGAAAGACTGATTGGTGACCTGAAGTCAAAACTGATGGCACATCTGAGGTCATCAGGGGGTCCTCCAGAAGTAGCCACCTGGGCTATGGTGGCTGCCCACAACTCCATGACCAATGTTGGAGGATACTCACCTATGCAATGGGTTTTTGGCCGAAACATGACTGAAGGAGATCGTCTTCATGATGGACCAGATCTGCCCTTTTGGAGTGGTCTCAACTCCGATGAGAAGATGCACCGTCAACTACAAGCTCGTCTCGATGCTGAACAAAGACATCGGGAGATGACCTACCAGAACAAGATCAACCAGGCCTTCAACACGAAGATGCAACATCCAGTTCGTTTCCAACCAGGAGACCTTGTGTATTACAAACGTTTTCAAGCTCCACAAGACAAAGCTGAGCGATCACACCAACTTTTGGACTTGTCAAGGAGAAGAGTGGCCAGATGGTTTGGACCAGCACGAGTCTTGGCTATGGAAACCAAGACATCCTATGAAGGACAGGTGCGACAAGCACATGCGGTGGCCTGGATCATTGCCTCAGGGCGACTCAAGCGAGTGATGGCCAATCAACTACGCTTTGCTTCCGATAGGGAGAAGGTCATCGCTGAAACAACTACACCCCTGGCCACACCATGGACTTTTCAGGACTTGACCAACCTCATCTCCAAGGGCGAGTTCGATGACGAGTTGATCACTGCAAAACAACAAGCTCAAGCTGAGAGAAGGTTGAGCATGGGTCGCTTGGTGGTGGAACAAGAACGTGCTCCTAAACGACCTCTACAACATCAACTGGTGGATGATGTCGAAGCAACGGGGCATTCTCACAAAGAAGCACGAGGTTCTGAAGCTCCTGTACCCGATGATGTGGACTTGGATGATCTACGTCATCAAGAACAACCTGAACTGGATGGAGAGCGCTTGGTGGCTGACCCAGGATATCTACCTCTGCAACCTCCTGGGCCTTTTCTACAACAAGCAGTTCAACCTGGCGGAGATCTACCTCATGGCGAAGGACCACCACTTCTTCAACATGGACCTTTTCGACGTGCACGACAGCGTCATGAGTTGCTGGAGAGACCTTACCATGTCCAACGCAAAGAATATCTCGAAGAACAAGGAGCTCACTATGTCAAGGACTCCATCGACTTTGGGGACTATGTCTTTGCGGTGACTCTACCAGAACCAGCAAATGAGAAGGAGTGGAGGGCCATTGTGAAGGACCCCTCAAAATTTGTAGCAAAACGCGTCGCCAAAGGCGTGGAAGTGTCCTACCAGCGCCTCAATGAGGAGCAGAGGCGTGCGATGAAAGAGGCTAAGCATGCCGAGATCTCTGAATGGCTGGCTTCACGAGTCTGCCAAGCTGCTGTTGGGCCCGTTCCCAATGACCGGCTCATGCGGATGAGGTGGGTGCTTACCTTCAAACAAGCTGATCAACCAGGGCTTGTTAAAGCAAAGGCCAGACTGGTCGTGCTTGGCTTCACAGACCCGGACTATGGGGCTGTGGCAGTGCGCTCACCGACTCTGAGCCGACGTGGTCGTCAACTTCTACTTCAAGCTGGAGTTCATCGACACTGGCAGATGCTTAAAGCGGACGCAAAGACCGCTTTCTTACAGGGACATGCCTCACAACAGTCTAGACAAATCTTTGGCATGCCTGTCAAAGAACTCCAGGAGGCCATGAACTTGCCTGAAGGACAAGCAGTCCAATTTCTCAAAGCAGCCTACGGCATCACCATTGCACCGAGGGAATTTTACCTCTACGTCCACGACATCTTGGTGAAGCTTGGCGTGGAAAGGTTGAAGAGTGAGCCGTGCATTTGGCGACTCCGAGCTTTGAACCCTCTGACAGGTCGTCAAGAGACCATTGGAGTGGTAGCTGCCCATGTGGACGACTTCCTCATATTGGGCGATGAGTCAAATGCCAAGTGGTGCAAGTTCATCGAGGACTTCCACAAGTCTATGAAATGGTCACCGTGGGAAGTGGCACCCTTCCAGCACTGTGGAGTTCAACTGTCACAGGGCGCAAATGGCAATTGGACTTTAAGCCAGCGCGAATTCTGCGAAGGTCTCAACCAAGTGGAAGAAGATGGACAAGGAAAAGATCTCACTGACAATGAGATCAGACAATGCAGAGCAGTCCTTGGCTCAGCACAATGGAGAGTGTACCAGACGGCACCACACCACGCTGCAAAACTCAGCCACCTGCAATCATTGCTGCCCAAAGGTGACAGAAGCACCCTGAAAGAAGTCAACAAATTTGTCCGCGAACTTTATGGACAACGAGATGTCACTTTGGAAATGCATGATCTGCAAGCTGATTGTGATGCAGATTTGGTAGCAGTTGGCTGGTCAGACGCAGCACTGGCAAACCGTGTTGACTTGGCAAGCACGGGCGGCATGATCGTCGGCTTTGTGCACTGTGCACAGAAAGATGGTTGAAGAAGGAGTTCAAGGACCAGTGAATTTGATGAGTTGGTCGAGCTCCAAACTTCGACGAGTTTGCCGTTCCAGTTTGGCTGCAGAGACCCAAGCCCTTGCGGAGACAGAGCAGGAACTGATGTTCGTGCGATGCATGTGGCAAGAGCTTCTCGGTTCTGACTTGGACTTACAGAACCCCGGAGCTACAGCCAAATTGACGGAGGGCATTGACGGAGGGCATCCTTGTGACCGACGCCAAGGCCCTGTACGACTCCATCCAGCAGGGAGACCTCCCTTCATTTTCCTCCAAAGAAAAATACACGGCATTAGAAGTCTTGAGTTTGGTCCAAAATCTTCAGGACCAAGATACTCAACTACGGTGGGTGAACTCCGATATGCAGTGGGCCGATTCGCTCACAAAGACTGGCTCACAAGATCGTATGGGAAGTTTTCTTCAAAATGGACAACGCTGGTCTTTGGCCTATGACCCAAACTTTGTGGCGGCGAAGAAACTACGTGCAGCTGCTGGAGCAGGCAAGACGCCTGACCTAGACGTAGGACTTGCCGATTGTAGCTGGCTGGACATCATGAATCATGGTTCTGACCAACGGGGCATGTCAGATCTTCAGCTTCAGGTATCAGAGAGTTCACATCTTGGTCAGAAACATGGTTCAGTTGTCATTGAATCCCCGTGTCACATATTGGCTCCATAGGGGACCCTTTTGCCAAGCTTTCAGCTATAGGTTTCTCTGTGGCGCCATAGGTGGTGCCTGACAGGCCATACCGGCCTCTTGCGCGTGGAAAACTACGCTGTTGCGGCCGTGCTGATACAGCGCAAATCGAGAAGTGTAACACCAACCTGAAACCCGTGACTTAGCTGAACCAAGGGGCTACCGACAGCACAGCACCCTGCACAGCACCTTTGCCACAAAGTTCGCCACCGAAGACCTGACCTTTGAAAAGTAAAAACCTCTATAGCTTTCAGCTATCTGGGGAAAAATTGGGCAATTTTTTTTGTCCAAACACATTTTTTTTCTGCAGCGTGTCTCACTGAAAGGCAGGTTCCGCGGCCACTCACAAAGAAATCCAAAAGCTAAAAAGGGAAGTCCACACAGGAAATCCAAAATTGAGCTGGCTATGGGCCCAGCAAGCGACTTGGAGTTGTTGAAGCTTCTGGGTGTTGGGCCAAGAGCTGCCCCAAGGGAGGAAGGTCCTCTTCGCCCGTGATTGCACTTGAAGGAGGCATTGAAAGCAGGGAAACTGCGCAGGCATGCGTGGCGGCATGCGTGAGAGAAGCGCTCCAGCGAGCAATGAGGGCTGTGACTGTGGCATGGTGAAGCTGTGCTGGGACTGTTCGTGCTTTGGTGTCTGCTAGAGATCTGAGGAACTGGGTCGCTTCTGTGCTCCATCGACCCCCGACCTCAATGCCAAATACCACCAGGCGGCAGCTCCCCATGCCTTGCAGCTTTGGCATTTTATAGAACGAAACCATGCATTGAGTATAAAAGTGTAACACCTGCAGCTATGATGGCGCTTTTCCAAGCTTTTGCATTGCCTGGGGCCAAGACAAGAAGCAAAATAAACAAGGCATCCATCCTCATGAGTTGGGTCATCTCGTTTTACCGAGCCGCGGGGTGCAGTTTGGCAAAACTTCACCCACTGGGATCACTGCCAAGCATCATTGACCGATGGGAACGTATTGTGTCTTGACATGCCTATGTGAAATTTTTGCCATGTTGAAACTCACCAAGGAACAAATTCAAAAAACAAGCGGTCCATGGTGGCAACCACGTGTGCGACGCACCTTGGTGGAGATCACCTCACAAACGGCACAGCAACGTTGAGCGAAGAGCGGTTAAGGTCAACCTTTAGCCGTTTACTCGGGAAAAATTAGCAAAAATTGTGAAACAGAGCGCGCCCAACGTCAAACTAGGAAACCACAAGGAACATCTTATCCCAAAGTGCTGGAAGTACAAACCGTGACAAACACAAATTGCGAAATGTCACACATATTCTGCAGTACAAGGGAAAAATCCATCGGAAAAATTGAGCATGTAAGAAAGTAGACGCGAACAAACCCAAATCAAAATGACCTGCAATGCATTTTTTCATTTTTTTCACACGTTGCAAGGGCACTGCATATTGGCTGATTCCACGGCGAGAATGAGACAAAGACAGTGCGAATATGTTTCTTCGAACATGTTGCGAAATACGCGCGCGTGGCACATTCTAGTTCCAAGATGTTGCAAGGATGTTGCGAGCGACAAATTGAAAACAGTAGTGCATCCTATGGATAAAAAAGGGTGGTTGGGGTCCTGAAAGCGTGTGCCAGAAATAGGAAATCAAAGTTGTCAACGTTGCCGTTGGTGGATATGTGAGCCTCGTGTAACGGCTTTGTTTTTGGTGGTGTGGTCCACCCAGTATTTTGAAAAACAGTTTCCATGTTGAAAGATTGGGTTGTGGACAGTGTGTGGTTTGGCATGCCACTTGAAACGGAATTTCGTGCGAGAGCCGAGACTTGGACAATCAATACAACAACACATTGTTGTCTTGTCTTGACAATGGCACTGGGGAGTGGAACATCATTGCGCAGATCATCAACGTGGGCATGGAAACGTCGAGTGTCCGTTAGATTTTTCTGCATGGGTTCAAAACAAAACCGGTCACCATTTACTCTTTTGGCTCCAAGTCAAAAATGCAGATCGCAGCAGGTGAACTCCAGTAGATCATCTGTAGATTCTGCTGAAAGCGATGTGGTTTGGCTGACGCCCAAGGCACCAAAAAGAGTCATGTGAGTGAAAATTCGAAACGACCCATTTGCACACACCAATGGTGTGTACATTGATGATCGAATAATCAGTTGGACCAACATGCTGAACAGAGAATTGAAACCTGATTTATTTCGTTGGCATTTGCTCGAAATGCAAAGCGTTGTTTTCGTATACGCTGGTATGCGGCGTCCTTTGATTTTCTAAAAACATTTCTGGTAGCAAAGATTTTCCAGCCTTTTTGACATGTGATCCGCAAACCCAATCTTTCATGAAATTGATGCTGAGTCACACCAAATTGTTTCAATCGATTTCATTTGCTCCCTGAATGCATCAAAACATTTATACATGGGATTTGTGACTCAGGTTCCTTTTGGTTGCACATGTTCAGAGTTGGTTGCAAAAATTTCTTCGCGGCAAAAGTGCACATGGTGTTGCGTTAGGATAAAGTTCAGACGGCAGGCAATGTAGGAAAAACAAGAATCTTATTTCAAGACGTCGGTGATGTGCAGGCTCGTGTTTCCAAACATTTTTTTTTGGGGGTTGCACCGTGCTGAACCTTTGCCCAGTCTGCACGTGCAATGTGTGCGTTCTTTCCATTGACCCATGTGTTCTCCACACCTTGGTCCAGGATGTTGGTGCTACATGATTCGGCGACCCAGGCGGGTGGAGAATGAAAGATGTGCAGTTAACTGTTACAATTCGATTTGGTGTTTAGGACATGTTGTTGGTGGAAATTTGATGATCCAATCACATGGAGGGTATTCAAGGCGTTTGGATTCGTTGGATTGCAGTTGTCTCTTCACATGAGCTTTCGTCGTGCCCATTTGCTGCTCATCCTTAAGTATACGACGAAGAACTCGGCATCTCAGTTGAAGGAACTTGTGCACAGGTACATGCATGTTTGTAGCAATCACCTGCGAAGAAGAAAGCAGCATGTTGAGCCAATTGCATGATCCCCGTGGTCCACAACTTGGGACATTTTTGTGCGTATGCTGAAAAGCAATGGTGCGAATTGCTCATGACGTAGTTGGCGGTGCTTTTGGCTACAAGATGAAGGAAAACGAGCACCCCAGCGGGTTAGTCAACATCTGGGATTTCATTGGTAGCTTGGCCAACCTGCTCTCCTGGTCATGTGGCAGATGGCTTTGTGACATCCACTTGGCAATATGGACATGTCACCAACGGGCACTTGCAACAACAATTGTGTGCATTATAGATATTGACATGGAAAACTCAATATTTTTTTGTTTCGGAATGGTTTGATTGGCCCGGAACTTGGCAAAATGCAGTAGCTTTGGTTCTTGCTTCAGCTTGGGTCTCAGGTGAAGAGATCGACAGTGGAGACAGCTCTGATGGTCCCCCTTTGGTACCGCAGGGGTTGGAGGACTGTGTGTCAAATGGGGTGGACCCCCCAAATAGCCCATTAGTCAATGAATTTAGGGGTACCCTATATTGAAACACACCTAAAAACGCACCTGACATTTCAGCTCTTGCAGATGCGCGAGGGGACACCGTTGCGAGACGAAGTCTGTAGAATGATGTCCAGAGTGGCGAGGGCTTTGGATCCATGTCCAGACATGGAAACATGTTAATGAAGATTGCGCACATGGTCAAAAGTTATTTTTTTAAAACAATAACAACATAACATATATATATATATATATAACATTATATATATACACATACACACCCAGATTGGGGAGTGGTCATCAATCCATTAATAGAGATTTATTTAGCTATGATTCCAGGATTCCAGGATTCCCATTATGATACGGATGGCCATAAATCATATAACATGTTTTGGCCGATGTATACACATGGCAAAGGATAAGGGTCATTTTTGTTGTGGTTAAAAAATTGCCTTGTCACTTTGGCAATTTTTTCCCTCAGGAGATTAGCGCAGAAGATTTCGAAGAACCCTGTGCGGCGCTGGGCACTTCAGGTACCATTGATTTTGATGCAATAGCTATAGATAGCTATAGGTTATTATAGGTTATGATATAGGTTATATCATAAAGCCTCCATTGACAATTAACACAACACATCCATTCATTGGGTAGATATGTCCATAACCAGAAGTGTAGAAACATAGTTGCTGGGTGAAACCCCAGGGAGGGCGCTGACACAACTGGGGCGCACGGATCTCCCTTCCTGTTAAGCCTTGAGTCTTGAATCTTCGTTTGATTTCAATAATGGAAGTCACCTTTAAATACCTGCATGACGGAGCTCTTGCTGTATGATTTGTATGCTTCTCAAAGTGTTGCCTTTCCGCTGGGTCCTCCTTTATTGTCACAAAGCCGCAGGGGTGCAGACGATTTGAGGGTGAATGATGATGTACTTAGATGGGCTGCAGAAGTGACACCTTCCCGGTGATTTGAATGGAATTCTCAGTCAGTAGCTTCATTTCCGTTCAACTCTTTACAGCTCAAACTCTCCATTCCATGCTGACAAGAAAGTCAAAGTACTAAAACTAATTACTAATGTCCTAATCTTGTAGGGTATCCAAAATTGACCATGACATGGCATGTGCAACACTGATTGTCGATTGTCGGTTGTCAGGACCTTCCAAATCATTGCATTGACATATCTTCTGCGTTTCCCCAGTGAGCCAAGATCTTCCGCTTTCCCATTGGCCCCATCGGCGTTTCAGGTGGCACTGCTGCGTTTTATTGTCTTCGATATCGCGAACAGCGAGCCCCACAGGGAGTTCCAGTGGATTTTTTCATCGGGAAGGACCTTGCTCATGCGAGTGCCGTCCTGAGCCCTTTTTAAACAGGGCATCCCAAATCCACTGACATACTCAAGTGCATCAAGTTTCTAAACCGACCTCCTATTGGATGCAATATCCAAAATATTCGCAATTAGGAAAAATGGCCTAGTCAGCCTAGTCTGAGCATTTCCATGGATCTAGATATTGTAGCAATTTTCCCATTTTTTTGCCGATTCAAATGGCGATCAAGTCCCAGGTGACGAGCTGGAGTTTTACGCAAAGCTCCAGTTTGCCACGAAGAACAGCCAGCCATGGACTTGCTTCGCCAAGATGGCCATGTCCTGTCCAGGGGTGTCGCGACTGGAATGTATCAATCCCAAAAATCAGGAGAGGAGCCACCGCCTGATTCTCTTGTTGGAAAACTTGCGACAAGGAGGGGAGATGGATGGAGATGGCTTGGGTTGGGAAATTCTTGGGCCTTGCGTCATCGAGGTTTCAACAAAGCAGTTTTGTTTGAAGATTTTGAAGCGAGTTCCCCTTTCTAGATACATCTTGTGGCAGGATTTAATCAGATGAGATTGCTGGACATCAAACTGGGCGCTGAGACTTCTGCGCCTCGGCCTGTGGACGATGCACGGCGAGGGCCATGATGAACTGATTGATATGGATTGTGTTCGTTGAATTGTTGGCAATTGTTGGCATAGTTGTGCCCCCAGGATTCAGCATTCTCCGGAAGTCGTGCATGTTTCCCACAGGTTCAACTTAAAAATCCTGATGGAACAGGTCTACTTCCCGGTTCGGCTTGCTCCAAAATCTTCCCCTTCCCAGCCGGCTCCATTTTTTCCGCCTCAGGTGGCGTGTTGGAAGGGCAAGAGTCGGCTGAACGCCTGGAAAAATCAGTTGGTGGATCAGCGCACCAATTCGGTGCAAGAGGGCTTCAGGTTGGAAGGCATCGAGGGTCCTCCCAAGAGCCTGGAAGATCGGATCCACGCGGTGATGGAGGCCAAAGGTTTGGCTGCGGCCAAATACATCTCCCCTAAGGCAGGCATGGCGGCTTCATTGGATTCTGTATGGATATTCAGTGGCTGCATTTGTGCCACATCATTTACTATGTCTCAAAATCGACTTCAACGTATGCCGGTATGCGATGGCATGGCACAATAGAAATCCCATGCCTTGCAGGTTTTTGAGGATAGGGAGTTCACCAAGTTTCTCGCATTTGTTTCTCCAGGTAATCAAGCGCTTCACACTGCAACGCTTGCGCTCTGCCGAGTTGTTGGAGTTTTGGTTGGACATGTCGCACCTGGGTGTTGGCTCGGAGCAACACGCCCAACATGCCGCGGTGGCTACCTTCCAACGGTTGCGAAACCTCCTGATGGCTGTGATGAACTTGGAGGTTTTGGTGGTTTTCATACGGTTTTAGAAAGGGATTGAGGGGGTGATGTCCTTTCCATGTGTGGATGATTGTGGATGAGTTTCCTGTGAACAGGTTCCAGCTTGGTCTAATTCCCCTACCCCCTGCCAGGTGCCCCAGCAGTGGATCGGCTCCTCAGTGGCCTTGGCTGCAGAGGTTGGATCCTTCAGCACCGAACCCAAGGTCTTGGTGAAGGTCTTCGACTGGGGTCGGGCGGAGCTGAACACCGAGGAAGACTTCCAACGTCTGCA